AAAAAAAAAAAAAAAAATTTATTTGTTGGACGAGATGGCTCAGGCCTGTAATCCCAGCACTTTGGGAGGCTGAGGTGGGTGGATCATGAGGTCAGGAGTTTGAGACCATCCTGGCTAACATGGTGAAACCCCATCTCTACTGAAAACACAAAAAGTAGCCTGGCATGGTGACGCGCACCTGTAGTCTCAGCTACTTGGGAGGCTAGGCAGGAGAATCGCTTGAATCCGGGAGGCGGAAGTTGCAATGAGCCGAGATCGCACCACTGCACTCCAGCCTGGATGACAGAGCAAGACTTTGTCTCAAAAAAAAAAAAATTACTTGCAGTTATTAAAGATTGCAATGGCATTGTGAGATAGAAGCTACGGAAGGGACTTCTTAAGTTCCTGAGAATCAAGGAGCAGCTTCTGTGGTCTGTTTCCAGGGAGGGTGCAGACATCCCACCTTGCAGGGCACCCATCACGAACTGCTGGCCTTACAGTTTGTCTGAAGCAAGTTTGAGACCTGATACCCTCGGGTCGCTGTGCGGCCTTCTGCCGCTCTCTTCATCTCTCTCTTTCCACTTGAGGCAGGTGGGGATGGTCATCTGCAATCCTTGGGTTCCGGCCCAAGCTGGGGCTCTCTCCCCTACATGGTCCATGATCAAGGTTCCTGGAGACAGAATCCAGATTTTCCTTTGGGGATCAGCGCCCCCTCTCCCATCCCAGGCTTTGGATTTGGGATGGGGCTGATCCCACTCCCTAACTCTAGGGGTGGGTCTTGATGCAGACCTGGCCAACAGGATACCACTGTTATTGGCTGGGGGATGAGCCCATCAGAGCCAGCGAGTGCCAGCTCTGGGAATTTGGCTGAAAGTTCTATGCAAGCGGGATTTTTCTCTCTGGTGGGGCTGCTAAGCTATAGGAGGCAAGTCTTGACCTTCTGGAGACTATCTTGTCATCACAGAGGGAAGGCCTGTCTGGAAAGAAGCCAGAATACAGCCAAGACATGGAGAGAGGCTGGTTTCTAAATTGAGAAACTGGATCCAGCCATACCTGAAGGTGGAGTCAATTACATGAGTCAGTGAATTTCCATTTTGGTGTCAGCCAGTTTGCACTGGGTTTCTGTCACTTTCCTCCTAACTGTTCCATTGCCTCCACTCATACTCCTTTGCAACATAACTGCTGCATAAGAGCTGGAGTCATCTTTCCAAAACACAAATTTGACCTTGTCACCACTGTTTAAAGCCGTCCATGGCTCCCCAGTGCCCTCAGGATAAAGTCTAAACTCCTTAGCCTGGTATTCAAGCCTTAGATCTGTCAATGGCAGCCTCCTTTCCCACTCTGCCCATGAAGGACATTATATTCAGTGACACACTCTCCTGTCACTACACCTTCGTGCCCTTCCTCATGCTGTTCCCTCAGCTCGAATGCCTGTCCCCACTGAGCTTCCCCTTCCATGCTCAGTTCCAAGGTAAGTCCCAGTGGACCTGGCTGGATATTGCGCATTGAAATTATTTGCTCATAGAACCACCGGGAGAGTGTGTTATAAATGCAGTTCCCACAACTACTGGGTTGCGGCCCAGGAATCTCTGATTTTTTTTTTTTTTTTTTTTTGAAGAGTCTTGCACTGTTTCCCAGGCTGGAGTGCAGCGGTGAGATCTCGGCTCACTGCAGCCTCCACCTCCTGGGTTCAAGTGATTCTCCCACCTCAGCCTCTTGGGTAGCTGGGATTACAGGTGCCCATCATCACATCTGGCTAAGTTTTGTAGTTTTATCAGAGACAGGGTTTCACCATGTTGGCCAGGCTGGTCTTGAACTCCTGACCTCAGGTTATCCTCCTGCCTCTGCCTCTCAGAGTACTGGGATTACAGGCGTGAGCCACCGCACCAGGCCAAATCTCCAATTTTAATACCTGAGCGTCTTCCTCTCTCCCTCACTCCCACGTGTGTTCTCATGTATTTTCCTCCTCCGAGCCTCGTTTGTCTGGGAAATGGGTATGGGAAACCTACCTGGAAAGGCAGCTGGGGGAATGACATGCAACAGTGTATATAAATAAGCCTGTCGAGGGTCACGTGCTCGGGGCTCTAGAATGATGATGGTGGTCGTCAGGATTATGCTGTCCTGCAGAGCGACTCTTTGTCCCCATGTGCCCAGGACAGAGGGGTTTCCTTGAAAGTGAGACTTTCAGTTTTGAAACTGGGAAAGGCCTCAGGCAAATCAGGATGTGCTAGTTGCCCTGTGTCTCCTGCCTTCTTTTCGCCGGAACAAATATCTTGCTTGCCTGCCCTGACCCCACTGTCCAGCAGGAGTCACGAAATCCGGCTCCACGGGGGAAAGGCACGAACTCCAGGAACAAAAGGACAAACCATTTTGGAAAACACTAAGAACTGGCGTTTTCCTTCCAGGAGGGACATGGCCTGTGTGCTCACCTTTGTCCCACGGCAGGGGTCACATGGTGACACTCCGCAACCTCTCACCCCACCCGTGTGCGTGATGGGGCCACGAAAGCCACGTTGACCACAGTCTGGCTTGTATCTTCTGAGTTCTGAACATTCCAGACTATACATCTAAATATGCCTTTCAGTAGAGTCTAGAAGGTTTTTTTTTTCTGCACTGAGTTCCTGGATTTATTTTGAGCCAAACTGCTCCTCACCCAAACTCCTCTGCCTCCTTTCAAAACCCAAGGCCACGTCCAGCCTCGCAGGCCCAAACCACGCTTACATAACCCGCAGTGACACTAAGTGTTTGTGAGGCCTGCCGGAGTGGGGCTGGGGCCGCCTGCTCTGGAGCACAGGGGACATTTTGTCCTGCAAAATGATGCTGTTTGGGGCGTGTGCGTGTGCGCGTGTGTTTTTCCCCTCCTGAAGCTCAAAAACAACTCCTTTTGCTCAAGCTGTCAAAAAGGAGAAGAAGAAGAAGAAGAAAGTCTGCAGTAATTTCAGTGTTGGGCCCAGATCAAGAATTGCAAACACTAAGATAATATTTTCCAAAGTTACCAGGCGAGTAGGAGTCGCTGAGTTACGGGAATTGGAGGCTGATCTGGGGTAACTTCCAGGGGCCCCGTCTCCCCACCGCTTCCTCAGTGGCGGTGGGCTTTTTCCTCTGACCATCACAGCTCACCGTGATCTTGACCTTACACGTGCCGGGTGCCAGGTGAGACACTTCCTCACAAATGGGTCCTCTTATTATCCCCATTTCGCAGAAGAGGAAAATCAAGTTCACAGAAACGGAAGACCCTTGTTCAAGGTCAGTGCATCGATTACGGGAGAGCAGTGATTTGAATCCAGGTCAGCCACACTCCAAAATGCAGACGTTCAACACTGAATGGTGCCAGATGGAAGCACGCGCTGTGTGCAGATAGATGCGTGTTCAGCCTTCGTGGGGCTTTCTTGCTGAATATCTAGCCGAGACTCAGCTTCCATACTTCTTTTATCTTTTTTATTTTTTGAGATTCAGTCTCTCTCAGTCACCCAGGCTGGGAGGCAGTGGTGAAGTCATGGCTCAGTGTGGTCTCGACCTCCTGGGTTCAAGCAATCTTCCCACCTCAGCTTCCTCAGTAATTGGGACTACAGGCACGTGCCACTATGCCTGGCTAATTTTTTTTTGGTAGAGATGGACTTTCACCATGTTGTCCAGGCTGGTCTGGAACTCCTGGGCTCCAGCCATCTGTCCACCTTCCAAAGTGGGATTACAGGCACGAACCACGGCACCTGGCTAGCTTCCATAGGTCTTCTTTTTTTTTTTTTTTTTTT